GCCTACCCCCCCCCTGAAGGGCTGGGCGTTTGGGTTTTTTTTTTTTTTTTTTTTTGGAGAGGTTTTTGCTATAGGGCAATGTGCACTCGCCAGACAGACAGAGATAGAGACAGAAAGCGAGAAATCACCCTCCAGGGGGGATGGCCACGCTGCAATCCCTTCTCCTCCATTGTCCTCTCAGGATCTTGGGCATGCAGACACACACGCCCGGCGTGAGTTTAAGCCACCGGATCCGGGACTCGAACCGTGGTTGACTACGTGGGAGTCCAGCGACATAGCCATTATGCTAACTGTTGGTCCCCTGCGTCGGTGTTTTGAAACACCCTTAGATGTGTGTCTGTTGACTTCTGCTTCATGCCAAGCTCGCGGGCTTTTCCCTTATAGTTACGGATCTGATGATAGGAGAGGGGGGAGTAAGACCGCTCGCTGCAAACAGCAGACAGGCCAAAGACTGATCAGAGTTTTAAAGACGTATAACCCCGCAAGAGGTAGGTTAGGAAAAGGCTTTTTTTTTTTGTCCTATGGACTGTGTGTAGTTCTCAACACATCCTGAAGATGCAATCTCCCCATGCTCTTCTTTTTTCACATGTGCTCCTAGGTAAACAAGATGTGAGGGATTCTGTGAAAAGTTCTTACAGGGGGGTGAAAATGACAGCCTTCAGTAAAATGTGATCTCGTACTGCAATACTTTCCTCTCTGCACTAAGACGTTCATGGAACCCTTTCTTGGTTTTGTAAATACTGAACGGCCAAGCCGTACGCTCTATCTTGACCTCCGACTGGAAGAGTGAAAACTGACTTCATTCAAACCTCCTACGGCCAACATCTCAACAAAGGACAGCCCCCAGGGTGCCTGTCCTCGAATACAGTGAAGACGCTAAGAAATCACAAAGACCCTGAAGTCTGAGGGTCTCGCTCTGTGGGTGGAGTAGGCCGCTTTTCTGTTCCTGCAACCACGCACGGCTCCGCCCTCCAACTCTGTCTCGTCTACACTGCCTCGGGTTAGGATGGTTCCGCCTCCCTCTGAGAAACCCCTCCCAAGTCCGCTTGCAGCATCCTCACCATCTACAGACGCCCGCCTCGTGGGACAGCGCAGACCTCCCTCACGTACTCTGCACCATCGCGACTTCCGCTACCTTCTGTCACTTCCCGCATCTCCATTCTTTAGCAGGACCCTGTCACCACCACAGAAACGTGTGCAAACATGACGTCGGCCCACTCGGAGTGCTTATATTTCATTTCTACCGCCTTCGGTCTGGATGTCCACGCGTGTTCTTAAGTGAGTCTTCCTTCCCTCGCCCCCGAGGAGGCAGGTGGAAAAGAGTCAACGTTCCCGTGTGATGGGGAGCACAGTGATTTCTAGCGTGTGTTCAGAGAATGAAGGAGACAGGCTGGGTATCTTCTACGTCACAGGGATGTGGATCGACCTGCAAAAACGACGACCAAACACAGACCGGCATTACTGGATAGCATTCTTTAGAATGATTTCTTTTATCTATTGATTTCTTTCTTTCTTTCTTTTTTTATTTTTTTTGGCCATAGGGCATGCGCTTGCTGGGGAGAGACAGAGACAGTCAGGAAGCAAGAAATCACCCCCTGGGAGGGAGGGCCACACCACAATCCCTTCTCCTCTATTCTCCTTTTGGGATTTTAGACACACATATACACACACCCATTGTGATTTTTTTTTTTTTCCGGAGAGGTTTTTGTTATAGGGCGCATGCACTCGCCAGAAAGACAGAGAAACAAAGAGACAGAAAGCAAGAAATCACCCCCTGAGGGGGATGGCCACGCCCCAATCCCTTCACCTCCATTCTCCTCTCAGGATCTTGGGCATGCATGCACATGCGCCCGGTGTGAGTTTAAGCCACCGGGTCCGGGACTTGCCCCGCGGTTGACTACATGGGAGGCCAGAGACAGGGCCATGCATGACGCCAACTCCTGGTCCCAGCCCGGTGTGATTTTCAAGCCACTGGGTCTGAGACTCGAACTGTGGCTGGCCGTGAGGGATTCCAGCACCTTAACCACAACGCCACCTGTTGGCCCTCTGTTATCTGTTTCTCATCCTGTGATGGTTACATGATAACCACGCTTCAAGTCCCAGAGGCTGTTTAAGTTTTCCCATACTCCATGGCCACAAAAAACGCTGTGAGGCAATCCGTGAATACTGTGCACACGTGCCACACCTCGAGAGAGAAATCCTGGGCCATGTGGGCAGATGCATCAGTGAAAACCCAATGCCGTTGTACAAACAAGCCTGCAGTCGTAGCCTACTGACTGAGCCAGCTACAGACCCTGGGCCAAACGGGGGGTGGGCCAGCACAAGAAGGGTCGAACTTTCTTTGGCTTTGTTACCTCTGAGTAAAGAGGTGGAGGTTGAAAACGGAATTCTTGAATGCAGGCAAACACGGGACAGCACACTTCTCCCTCGCAGTCAGGAGGCTGAGGGAGAGGGGGGACGTGCCTGGAGAACTCCTCCTCGGATACCACGTCTGCGTAATTTGGTGGGGCTGCAACAGAAATGGAGGTGAAGTCAAGAGATCCCCGCACACATGAATCCCTCTTGTCTGAACTCTCGCCCAAATGACAGAGGTAGCTAAACTTAAAGAGAAAAATCTCTTTTCTTCCCCTAATTGGCCAGCATTGGTACTCGTTACACCACAAACGTTAATCGATTCTGCTTTTGGTAAATTACTCCCATCGCTGGGTTAGATTCTACTCTTTCGAGATGCACTGGGTTGTCAGAAAAGTCATGATGCTCTTATTTTGCATAAGAAAACAGAAAAAAAACGTCATGACTTTGCCGGCAACCTAAGACGTGGTCGAGTCCAGGTAAAGGACTATCAGGAAAATGTCCGTGCAGAAAATATGGAACACTCGATCCTCTTATTTGGACTGTTTTCTTTTTCTTCTTCGTCTTTGTTACAGGGTTTGTAAGCTCGCCCTAGACAGAGCGAAGGAAAGTGAGAAATCACCCCTGGGAGGGGGAAGGGAGGGATGGCCATGCTGCAATGCCTTCTCCTCCACTCTCCGCCTGGGACTTTGGGCACACACACACACACAGCGGCATGACTTTCAAGCTGTCGGGTCCGGGACTCAAACTGAAGCTGGCCATGTTGGAGTCCAGCACCTTAACCACCATGGTACCTGCTGGTCCCTGGTTTTCATCGTTTAACCAATACGGATTGGAACCAGGAGACGTACATTTTATTCCTGGGCCTCCTGTTGGCAGCTGTGTGTCCTGGCTATGTTACACTTTTTGTGTGATTTTTTTTTTTTTAAATTTGCTATAGGGCATGTATGCTCTCTAGGGAAGGAGTAGGAAAGAGAGACAGAGAAAAAAATCAATCACCCTCCAGGGGATGGCCACCTCATTCTTTCTCCTCCATTCTCTCAGGATTTTAGGCATGCACACACACCTGCCTGGTGTGTTTCTCAAGCTGCGTGGTCCAGGACTTGAACTGTGCAGTCAACATGTGAGATCCAGCTGCCTTACCCTCCACACCACCAGCTAGCCTGGTAAATTACACTTCTGAGATCTTTCTGGAGAATGAAGTTTCCTAACTTTTAAGCAGTAAAGAGAACAAGGACACGGGGCCAACATATGGTTATAGTGTAGGGGTTAAGATGCTCGACTCCCACATGGTCAACTGCAGTTCAATTCCCAGACCAAGTGGCTTGAAATTCACTCTGGGCATGTGTGCGTGCGTGCCCAAAATCCCAAGAGGAGAATGGAGGAGAAGGGACCGCCACATGGCCATCCCCCTGGGGGTGACTTGCTTTCTGTCTCTGTCTCTGTCTCTCGGGTGAGCGCGCACACCCTATAGCAAAAATTTCTCAAAAAGGAAAGAACACATGGACACCCATGCAATTTCTCACGACAGGCCCTGCTGTCTGTCCCCACCCCGTGCAGCCTCACTCGGAGAGCGCTCGCAAGCGGCATACCTTCGGGCTGCTCTGGCAGGGCTAGCGTGAGCCAGCTCATGTCCACGCTGAAGTGGCTGGGGACGCTGCAGTTCCCGAAGCCGTTGTAGGGAACCGTGCCGATCACTAACGGCAGCTCGAGCATCAGCTTCTGAGCACCAGGAATGTGGATGTACACCTAAAGTGCCCGGAAGAACCAAAGGAGAAAGACCCACGTCAGCGCCACCTCGGAGAACACGATGCATTTCTGTTTTCATAGAAAACACACGCCTTCATCACCTGCCGCCCAACCCCAGTGCGATCGTACATTGTCTGGACTAAACAAAACGCGAAAACAAACAACGTGAACTGGACTCAACACCTCATGAATGCCCTATGACAGGGAACTGTGGCCTTTCCATATTCTGCTGTAAGGTGCACGGCTTATCTAGTTAGTTACAGATAGCGAGTGCCCCTTAATGTAACTCAGGAATTTTTATTCAATCTCTTACAAGTGGGGGGATTGGTAGGTGGCATGGTCATCAAGGGACTGGACTCCCAAAGGGCCAATGGCAGTTTGAGTCCCAAACCTGGTGGCTTGCTTTATTCTGTTTCCCTCTCCCTCTGGTCAAATTAAAAAATAATAATAGGGATCAGCAGATGGCGCAACAGTTACATTACTGGACTCACATGTAGTTGACTGTAGTTCAAATCCCAGACCTGGTGGGTTAAAAAAATGTGTGCGTGCCCAAGAGAAGAATGGAGGAGAAGAGATTGCAGCGTGGCCAGCCCTTATCTGGGAGGTGATTTTTTTGCTTTTGGTCTCTCTGTCTCTGTCTCTCCAGTGAGTGCATGCACCCTATAGCAAAAATCTCTCTCTCAAAAAAAAAAAAAA